CTAATTTGTCGAGTAATGAATTGTCATTTAGGAATTATAGATAGGAAACCAGGATAGAAAGGGTTACAAAAACCAGAAAACAAAAGGACTACATAGAGTTTATTATATAATAATTCAGCAAAATAAAATTGATACTAAGGCCGCGTAGTAAAAGAGTTAGATGCCTTTTGAACCCAGAGAAAATTATAAAGGCGTCGAAATTGTGTCTACTTTCCACGTTATTTACACTTAAAGGGGTTCTTAACCGTCAAACAGGGGCCATTACTATGGAATTACCAGTGTATCCGTTAGCAGCCAATCTGTTTATGCACTCATTAGAAACAAATGCAATTATGAGGTGCCCGAATCCCCCAAGAATGTGGTTGAGATATGTTGATCATACCTTTGTCATAATCAAACGTAATATGTTGAAAGAACTTTTTCATTTAATAAACAATACGTCAAACATCATTTAGTTTTCGAACAAGGTTAAATCCGACACAAATGTTTTGGCTTTCCTGGACTGTTTGGTAAAAAGACAACCAGATGGTAAACTGATAATAAACATCTCTAAAGAACCCACATATTCGAACAGATACCTAGATTACAATTTGACACAACCCTTTACCACCAAAGTGACTGCGGTCATGAATCTGATTAACAAAGCCAGATGTCCAGTTACTGAGGAAGAAAACATCAACAGGAAACTAAAATTGGTTCAGTCTACTCTTGAATCAAATTATTATCGGAAAGCGTTTATAAAAAGTGAAGGTGAGGATGAAAAAAAGCCTGTTGCTAAGACCTGGGTTAGTAGAGTGGTGATTCCTTACCGCAAAGAAACATTTGATGAAATAAAGCGAATCCTTAGCAGACAAGATGTAGGATAGCATTTTTGTGCAACGGACACCTTACGGTCATCATTGGTGAAGGTTAACAATAAAATAGAAGACAATCAACAAAAGTGCATGTACCAGATAAAGTGTGACGCCGTATATGTGGGAGAAACTTCCAGACAGGTGAATGTAACAGTAAAGGAGCATAAACAATGTCTAAAAGTGGTTTCAAAGACCTCTGCAGGTTCTACAGAAAGGTTTTTATTCGTATAAAGAAGGAGTGACTGCAGAAGCCCTACATATTGAGTAAACTCCAAAAGTTTGAACGAACGTGTGGTGTTAACTGATGCATGGAAAGTCCTGATGAAAAAAATGAATATATATCACTGATCGATCATACCTAATCCAAATTCCCAATTGCCTATCATTTAATTATTTCATCTAATGTTCTCATTGACTATGTATATTCAAAACTAACTGAAAATTGTTCCATTCCATCCTGTAATTGTTCCACAATACAATTTTTGATATTATTCTAATTTGCCCTTGCTGGCTATTGTACGGTTAAATTAATGGATTTATAATTGTTAGAACCTGAAGAATTTATTCAAAACAATTGTTCGCTCTATTTTGTTGTGAATAAATTATGGGGAAATTCAAGTTATTGTGGAAGTATTCGGTCAAATCTTGATCACAAGTCATATGAACATCATAACTGTGAATATTAATCAATGCATACGAGGAGTTGAATATGGGTGTTAGAGTTACTTAATAAGATGAATAATTTGTAATCAGTATGCACATAGAAACGTAGGAAAATATCATATTACTTAAGATTCCGAAAGAAATACGAGAGTTAAAGGTAGACAAACGAAATCAAGTCGGGAAACAATAACAAGGTTACTGACATGACAGTGTAAGTGGTTGAATAATTTTCTTTTCTGTGCGAAGCTCCGACTTTTCTATCTGAATGGCTAGAATTTCAGCCAGGCAGGGGAGACGACAGTGTATTCATTTTCGATAGGCTGTTCTTCACCTTGTAGAGTACTTTGAAGGATGAGTTTTGTAGAAAATTATATTTGTAAAATCTCAGCGAGATTGAAATGAGTAATTCCAACGATTCGTTCGATAATCTGGTCCGAAATTCTTCAGGGAAATTTATCGAAATTAACATAATAGAGGTTTATATATAAAATTTTACAAATATAATTTTATAATTAGACGTATTTTCAAAATTATGGTGTTTAGGATTAGAGTTTGATTGAAGTACCTCATAGAACTTATTGCTTTGTTTTCTTTTTGAAGATTGAGCTGCTTTATTCGACCTACTGGAGTTGTCAGGTGCCTCGACAGCTACGGATTTAGGGCGCCGAGTCAGAAGTAGACATTTGTAAAAAATTATATTTGTAAAATTTTATATATAAACCTCTATTATGTTAATTTCGATAAATTTCCCTGAAGAAGTTCGGACCAGATTATCGAACGAATCGTTGGAATTACTCATTTCAATCTCGCTGAGATTTTACAAATATAATTTTCTACAAAACTCATCCTTCAAAGTACTCTACAAGGTGAAGAACGGCCTATCGAAAATGAATACACTGTCGTCTCCCCTGCCTGGCTGAAATTCTAGCCATTCAGATAGAAAAGTCGGAGCTTCGCACAGAAAAGAAAATTATTCAACCACTTACACTGTCATGTCAGTAACCTTGTTATTGTTTCCCGACTTGATTTCGTTTGTCTACCTTTAACTCTCGTATTTCTTTCGGAATCTTAAGTAATATGATATTTTCCTACGTTTCTATGTGCATACTGATTACAAATTATTCATCTTATTAAGTAACTCTAACACCCATATTCAACTCCTCGTATGCACTGATTAATATTGAAAACTGTGAATATGACTGTCCCTTTTGTGAAGAAAATGGTGTATAAGTGCGATTGTAGAGCTAAAGAAAATGGATTCGTTGAAAATAGCCTCTTCGCTGAACTACTTGTCGTGTTCTTCCCATAAACGCCTGGATGGGGATTATTTATGAATTGCAAGCTCTGTCGATATGTACGTGGTAAAGTTAGCAGACAATCCTCGAGTGAAAAGGAAAGAAGTAAAACTTGAATTAGCGCAGTTATGTAGTGATTATATTTTGATCTACTTTAGAAACGTGTGAACAGAAGCATAAACAAAAGCGAAGCCACGGACAGGATTGGAATGAACAAGGTATGGTATCTACACATAAATACAACAAAATATTCTGAATTTGAAACAATAGTTGCAATAAGATTATACCTGGTAATACAGATTTAGTGAAGATACCACGAACCATTTAATACCAATTTAGTAATCAAAATATCATGTGGTGTAATTCTTCACCAATAGTTGAAATTAACATACTAAATCGAAATTTTTCAACTACAAAGTAGAGGACGACCCTTAGTCAATTTCTGACTCGTACTGAGAGAAGGGCTAAGAGATGATGTGAAACTGTCTATACAAAAAGCATCAATATATGTGGTGTTTAAAGTTTGGGTGTTGAACACTTTTAGTAGTTTATATTATACTTAAAGTGTACGGGTAGAGTGTACCAATTGTGCAGAATATTTATAGTTGTATGAACTAGTCACCGGATAGTAGTTGTGTAAAATCAAGTCTGTTGATCCGCACAATAGAGACATTCAAGCAGGTGACAAAATTTAGTAGACAGGTGCTCAGGTCCGCATATTACTTCTAGCATTAGAAATCAAAGCTAAAATGCACTAAGTGTAATATCACTTAGTCTAGGGACATTCGACCGATAAATTCTAGGGAACACACGTAAGACTAGATAAATACATGGGTCACCATAAAGCGATCAAGATGTATAAACTGACCTGTGACCTAAATGAATGAGCGGTAAATTAGCTGAAGTCGTAATTGGATGATGCGAATACGAAATTGGAGATACAATGAATCTCAGCTATGCATTAATAACGAAAGCCAACAAGCAAGAACCTAAGTTGTAGTGCTATCTGTCTATCGAATGTTAATATCAAACAGCTGATATAAAAACTAAATAGTATACTACTTAACGAACTAGTATTATGATGTGAAATTAACTGAAGACCGGTAGGGAAAACTATTTATCTATCTATGATATTGAGTTTTACAACTTCGTAATCCGAAATACACGAGAGAATCACATTCCACTTATGAAAGCTACGTTTACCATAAAAAAAAATTAAGAAAATATTTATTGATTTGTTTGCCCTTCTGCTATTATTTTATCACCAGAATTGGGTTGAATTACAACGCCAGTAATATAGAAAGCAAGCGTACAGAGTATAATACAGAAATCAGGTTGAGAGGTTACAAACCTACATAACTGAAATATGCATTACAAAATGAAGGTCGTTGAAATAACTGGAGACAAATTAGATTAGGAAGGAACTAAGGATAGACAAATAGTGACCATAAAATCGTTGACTGTTGGTTCGAGTCATCTAGGCTGTAATTCATTTGACTATAGTTAAAAGCTCCATACGTTATCGCTCAGGGTTAGTCACAGGGGAGCAGATGCACCTATACGTTATCTTCACCTTAAGCTTATATAAATACTTCGTAGTTTTTGTCTTCTTTGTTATGACATTCTTTTAACTTTCGAAATTCCTTACTTCAGTTCTACCAGTTTCTCTCTAACGTTATAACTTCAATAGAGAAAATATCAATTCGTGTGAGTATTTGCATAAAGACTCTAGGGTAACGTCTATAAAGTTTACAACAAAAGAAATATGATACCATGGTCAGCATTTATATGCATTTAGGATCTTATCAACATTTTGTTCAGCAAACATTATGAGATAACAGTTCACCACCGCTGAAGTTATACACGTGAAGTGCAATAGTGATTGTTTCGAATTCTAAATGTTAGATAAAAGGGGAAAATATGTATTGGAATGTGCGTGTAACAGCACAACCGAACGCTATACAACCGGTAGAAGGTAGAATAAATCACTTAATAGACATAAAGAAAAGTAGTAGCAAAATTAGAGCATCACAATTCTTAATACATTGCATAATAAAGTGATTCAAAAAAAGAAGTATATTGAATGATACACAAATGGAACCAGTAGATATGTGTCAGCAGAATTCGACAAAAGATACAATATACTAAGGTAATTATTTACATAACTAGATGAAGTTCAAATAAAAATCTAGTCGTTCGTTGATTGTTCAGCAGATAAATATGCTTCATCAGCTAACTCAAAATATCTTGCGGCTAAACGACCTTGCAACGCAGAAGATGCGGTCTCTCCAGCCTGGTTAAAAAGATCACCTGGAAGTAAAGAAAAAAGTAGACTACTTCACAAGCTATGAAAATTAATTTTTTTTTATTCCTTTAAATTTCCAGGGGAACATAAGGTTTCAGACTATAGGATTGAAGTCTCCAAAGTAGTGGTATTTATTTTTACGGGATGGGATTGCTAGACTCATGCCTAACCTTCCCCACCTTACCAGTCTTATTACTGGCTTAGTGAGGTAAGGAAATGCGTCCGCCTGGGATCGAACCTAAGACCACACCGTTATGTCAAATACTACACCACGAAAAACTAATCTTTTTGTCAACAACCACGTTTTATTTTCGCATAAGTAGAAAATTATATATTGCTTTCAAGTTTGGTATTCCTTTCATAAAAATGTGAGTTTTGATGACAATAGTGATGAAGGTCGATAAAGAGAAAATAGTTTTTAAATATAGCAAAAATATCCATTCAGACATTTAGTAAAAAAATTGAGCAAAGAATATCCGTTACGATAATTTCCTCTTGTGGCTCTACGATTATATATGTATATATATATATATATATATATATATATATATATATATTCATATGCATCTTACAGTTGTGTGATATAGCAGCTCTCAAACAGAGGATATACTAGAGATCAATGCCTACTATAAAATTCAATGTTGGTACAAATCAGTTTTGAATGATGGTTGTTTATAAAACTGCACAAGTACACAACCGCATTCAACAGATTATTTATTCCATCGACTTTCTCTAGAGAGACTAGTCAGAACAATAAAATCCGCTACCGAACCAACAACAGTGACCGTCTCCTACAGTTCTGTTCTGATAATCATTTGTTTCTTGTAAGCACTAACTTCAAACACAAGGAGAGACACTGTTTGACTTGGAAAGCCCCTTCATCAAACCAACGCTGGACACAAAGGACCGTGAACAGTGGTCGGTGACAAAGGCGAAAGAGATGGAAAAAGCTTCGACGATAGGCAACACCAGGCAACTATTTAGACTCATCAGGGAAACGGGTGGGAGAAGGCAAATCATTAGTGAAACAATCTCGGAGAAAAATGGCACTATAATTAGCTCCCAGGATAGACGACTGGATCGCTGGAAAGAGCACTATGAGGAGCAGTTTGGTTGGCCCATAGCCACGCTCAACCTGCCGAACATCCAAAACCTCCCTGAATGGGATATAGACACAGGTCCTCCGTCCTTAACTGAGGTTACTAAAGCTGTCACTAGTCTGAAACTAGGCAAAGCAGCGGGACCTGATGGAATGACTCCAGAGGTATTTAAGTACGGTGGAGACAGTTTACTCTCTGCGTTAACTGAGGTACTAGGCAGCGTCTGGGAATCAGAAGAAGTCCCATTGGGTTGGTGTAAGTCACTGATTATCCCCATATACAAGAAGGGAGACACGTCTTCCTGTGATAATCACAGAGGGATTAGCTTGACTAAAATAGTATCTTAAGTCCTTGGTTCAATAATATTGCGTTGACTAAGTGGTGCTCGGGAGACACAAACACGAGAGAGCCAGGCAGCCTTTAGACCAGGAAGAGGGTGTATTGATCATATCTTCACCCTCCGACAGATTCTAGAACAGGCATTCCTACCGGCGTCCAACAATCATCATATTTCTTGACCTTAAGGCTGTATTCGACTCTGTCGATCGAGTTCTCTGGAGATGCTTGGCTGTAAAGGGAATCCCGAGAAAATATATTGCACTGATTAAGGAACTCTACTCGTACTCATACAGCCAGGTGAGGGCTTACGGCGAGTTGTCATCTCAACTGATGACGACTAGTGGTATCCTTCAAGGATGTCCACTATCCCTTTTTTTTCTGGACTACAGCGACGCCTAGTTTAAAAATAGGAAGCGAAGTGGTAGAGCACGTTGACCGCTTCACTTATTTGGGAAGTACCATCAGCCAGTGCCAACGGGTTGATCTCTGACGAAATCTCAGCTGAGTACGGATACAGAGGGCTAGTTTCGCACATGCCATTTTACGCCGTCTCTGGCGTAGACGTGATATTCGGTTGGCTGTCGACAAAAGAGCGGGTGTACTGCTCATCAGTCCGCTCCGTCCTCCTTTATAGCCAGCTGTGAGACCTGGCCATTGAGAGTGGAAGACTTGAAAAGATTAGCTGTCTTTGATCATAGGTGCCTGCGCTCTATCTCCCGTGTGAAGTGGTATACTAAGGCGAGCAATATTGAGGTTAGGCGTCGAGTGCTACGAAAGGAGGGGAAATCAATCGACGAGGCTGTGAGATTACATCGACTGAGATGGTTAAGACATGTGTTACGCATGCTTAGCCATCGCCTTCCTCGACGAGCAATGTTAGTGGATATAGGGTCAGGCTGGAAAAAAGCTAGCGGAGGTCAAACAAAAACTTGGCACCAGTCAATGAAATCTACAACAGTCTAAGCCCCGTAGGAAGGTGTAGACTTTCGGGCTGGGGTCCCCGGGACGGTAAAAATCAATGGTTGGAAACAATTGGTGACATGGCTCAAAATCGTTCTCAGTGGCGCAGATGCATCCACTCCTTGTGACTTATGATCTCCAATGAAACTGTTTTGTTCTTCGTTATTACTCCTCCTTTGTCTCACACCTCTGTTTACTGTCTCTATTATGCTTTTCTTGTACTTTCTTCTCTTGGTTTGTGTGCTACACGGAGTGTGGCGACTTGAACTGGCGCACATATTTGCAAAGTTCTATGTCGAAAACAGACAGACTCACTTTCATTAATATTTCGTACTTAAGTAGGAGACACTTATGAAATAATGAAACGTTGTACCTGTTCCATGGAAAGACATTAAAATAGTCCCTGTCCCTAAACCTGGCAATAGCAAGAACGTAAAGTTCAGACCCATCGCCATCACTTCCCCGTTTCTAAAGCTCATGGAAAAACTAGTACTTCTTAAACTTGAACCCTCCCTTAAAAGCTACGAAGACCCCAAACAATTTGCCTACAGACAGGGTAGGAGTACTTTAGACGCTGCAGCCGTCTTACACAACAGTATTATCTCATCATTAGACAAAGGTGTCAAATATGTCCGCTGCACGTTTCTTGACTTTACTTCTGCCTTCGACTCTGTACCTAGAAGTCTCTTGCTAAATAAGCTCTCCATGACACAAACCGAGTCCTGGGTCACTAACTGGTTGCATTCCTACTTTTCAAACAGAATGCAGTACACCGTATACAAAGGTGAATCCTCCTCTGCTGTGCTCACAGAAGCTGGTGTCCCCCAAGGTGCTGTACTCTCCCCACTTCTCTTTTCTTTCTTTCTACATGACCTACCGTCTTCAAATGACATTAACTTTGTCAAATATGCTGATGACCTAACTGTGTCTTTACCTGTCAAATGTCAAAGTGACTGCTCTAAACTAAATGGCTTCTTATCGGAAATTAGCCAATGGTCCAAGGAAAACGGTCTAACCTTAAACCCCTCCAAATGCCAAACAGTTAATTTCACCTTTAGGCATAAATCTGACCTAAACAAACTGGTTAGCACTCACGAGGTGTGCAACATAGATGGCAGTGAAATTGAAACCAAGTCGGAAATTAAATACCTAGGCGTCACTTTATCTTCTGATCTTTCCTGGTCGTCTCATATCTTGACGATTTCCAAGAAAATATACCGTCTTACCTTCTATATCAAGAAGTTAAGACATTCTGGAATAACCCAGCCCTTACTCCTACAATTCGTTAACTCCCGTATTCTGCGTATTATTCTCTATTTTTCCCCCTTAGGTTTTCCTGGGCTATTGAAGAAAGACTATACCTTATTACGTAGGATGTTAAAGGTTGTCAGCAGGGTAAGCTACGTGCCACTTAGCCAGCTTGTTAATATTCTGGTCTACTGGCACATGGACTCATGTGAAAAATGGGCGAAATCCATTTTATCTGACTCACAACTCTCCCCATGTATCTCTTCAGGGAAAACCAGAAGCCTATATGGGGAACTATATGCCCGCACTAGTAAGTACAAAAACTCATCCATACCCTACCTAGCTCGTGTTCTGTGCGATAAAGAAAGCATTAGGCGTGAAACCTTTAACTTATTAAATAGTCAGTAGAACCAATGGATCTCGTCTTTCCAACTCACATCATTTATAGGTACAACGTTTTCTCTCTCTTCATTCTGTATTTATTTTGTTATGTGCTGCTTTGTTTCTCTCTTCCTTGCAAACTCTACCTAAAACATTCTTGTTCGTTCTTTCATACTCTGTACATCTCGACCATTTTGCTATCGCTTACGCCAGTAAATATGCTAGTAGTATCTACTTTTCTAACACCTTCAAACACTTTAATTTTGGCTTTGCTACCGACATACTAATATGTTGTTGAGATAACTTTAAACTATGTAGAACTTTATTTATTGTTAATGTAAAAAACTGGATGCAATATTGTAGTAAAATGCTGAGAGATCCATTCTGTATCACAAGTACTGATTTGGAATAAAGCTTATGTTATGTTATTAAGACCTAATCACATGATAGACGCCAAAACTACTACAGGAAACCGAATAAGTACGCAGCAACCTAAGTATTAAGAATATAGCCTAAAATGAAGTTTGTTTGGCATTACAATGTTAATAACTTCGAAGAGTGAATGAATTCACATTAAATTAGTCACAGTTTTTGTAATAGCAATCAGTGAATTCACAACCATTCCTGAGAACTTCATTATATTATCAAGAGACGGGTTTTTAATAATATAAAGGATGAATATCACGATTGAATATAATTATACTAATCAACATCGTATTTAGCGGAAGAAAGTACTATTGAGATATTTTAGTGATTCGAATTTATTTTTTGTTTTCTCTGGTATGAACTTACCTGCTAGTGACAAGTTCTTCTTGAGACCAAAACCTCCGACAGAATACATTTCAGCCATACGGGCTAAAATACGATAAACAGGCAATAAATCTTCAGCAGCGTCATATCGGCCTTCAGCATCCAAACCTTTATCTGCACATCCATCACCGGAAGATGAAGAATCCGTGGCACAATCGACTGCTCGTTTATACCATCCAATAGCTTCAGACCAAGAGTCGGGCGAAATGGATGGAAGCAATGAATAGTTATCACTGTTGACGAAAGCTTGTAAAGCCGGAAGTAATAACATGTCACTTGGGGTTGTAATGAAGTTTAACTGATGTCCTGTATTTAAAAGACTGACTGATATATCTAGATAGCGAGCCAGTAAGATCATGCATCGACGGTCACCGCCTTCTGCAGCACGCCAGAGGTGATCGATACCAACCCGAATATCACTTGGATCAGGCTGACAAGTAAAATAAATAAGCAAAGGGAAAAAGGTATGATTTAGAGCAGCTGACAAATGAAAGATGAACATAGGACTATCTCTTAAGAAAATTGAGATATGAATTAATATGAGATGCTTTTCTTAAATGTAAGCTAATTCCAACGGTTATCCAACAGTACTAACTTAAAGCAGTTTTACCTGTGATTTTGAAAGAAATGAACTATTCAGCTAACTCGTTTAGTGTGAACTTTGTATATTGGTAGGTAATTTTGTGTGCAATAAAGACGAACATCTTAGCGCCAACTCAATTTGATAGCTTTATCCGACATATAATACTAAAAGTGAGGGATAAGTACATTCAGTCAGTAAGGTGTTTTATTCTAAAGAACGAAAAATTAAAATTAATCATAAGTTTGATATTCACTCTCAGTAAAAGATGATAAGTGCTTACACCTAATACTTAATATAAATGGATACATTTGGTTAGTAAGAATTCAGCTAGCTGGAACATTATTCATGCACTTGGATATGAAGGTTAATAATACTACTTAATTGTCGGGGCTGTAGTAGGAGGAGCAGGAATTGAACCCACGATCCACTGTTTGAAAGTAGAAGGCTTCAACATGGGTACAAATGATATACCTAAATTTTTTAGCATATTAATCAACATTTATTTGTGCAGTCTGTATGGCGTCAGCATCTGTTACTTAGAAGTTAATAATTACGCTACCGCTGAATATATGTTCTCATTAAGTTCTGTTCAGCACTTTAGTGTACACGATTATGAGATGGTCAAAATCAAAACTAGTTCCCTTAGCAAGAGTTGCTACATTCAGTATAGAAACATCCAAGTAGCAGTGATTATTTCAATTCTTAGTGGCAAACAAGTCTACATTTTAAGTAACTCACTTTTATGGGACATTCAAGGAGTTGGGTTGGTAAACCCAAATAATAATGTGCCATAACTATCATAGCTTCCAAGCAACCCAACTGAGCAGCATGACGTTCGTGAAATAGTACAGCTGACCAATCAATCGAAGCTGGTGGGTCACACTTTGTTTCATTATTATTCCCATTGGTGACATCTGTTTGTAAATTATCCTCATCGGCCAATTCTTCACTTGGATTTACAGCCAGACATCCTAAGCCGGCAGGTGACCACCCACCTTTGTTCGAAGGAATGAAACGACCAGCTTCATGAAGTCGAGCAAGTTCATGGTGGATCTAAGGTAAGAAAACTCCGGATTATCAATTATGAAAATAATGAAAATTAAGTTATTCCACAATTCAGAACCAATAGCACTTATGTAGGTTTGCCTACAAATTAAGAGCTTAAACGTAATGTAACAATAGAAGTCATTCACTGTGTTTTTTTGTATTATCAGGTTTATTTTTACACCCATTTGATTATTGTCTTTTTTTGTTTTGTAGTCTGTTTGACAGGAAAATCTATATTTTAAAGTAACCTACAGTTCACTGAGTGGAACTCATTGAAGATCGATTCTTTCATTTGTTTGAAACCAGTTACCTGATACAGATCCCTGATGTTCCAGATGATGAGCTAAACTGATTGTAAGAGGACTAGGAGCCCATATTCTAGTGGTTGGAAAATGAATTTTTAAACCAAATAACGGCAAATTTACTCCATCTGTGATGAAATAATGCTGATTGTACTCGCTATGAAAACAAATCATCAATACTTTCAATAATTATTCTTTTTGCTGATTTGAGATAATTAGGCAATTCTTTTTAGTTCACTTCGTAGAGATGCACTTCCTTGTTTGGCAGAAAAAGACACCCTGATTAGTGGACGTTTGATAATTTTTTCAAATGCATTTCATGATTACCACCACGGATAGAAAGTATTCAAGTCTTGGTTTGCAAGGATTTGACCGGTTACAGGACTTCATTATGAGCTGATATCAATTAGAGAACCGTTGGAAAAGCTGAGAGTACTGGAAAGCTGTTTCATCCTAGTTTGGGACTCTTCATGAGTACGAACCCACTGGAGTTGGGGCCATGAACCTTCCGTTGACCAGGTGAGCTCGTAGACCATTAAGGATAGTAAGGCTGGATCAAAACATAATGTGATTTACGCTTTCAAAACTTGACTTCAACCTCTTCTAAACAGTGCATCCCAACAATCACGTATTATCATAAACAGTCAAACATCATATGTGACTTTTTACCTTGTGTGTAGAAATGTGGAGGGCAAGAGAATCAGATCAATAATAAACAAACTAATTAGATTCATTAAGAAAAATATGAGTCATACACTAGAATAAATTACTTAAATACGGTTACCGTAGAGTGTGATTTTGACAAAGTTAGAGAGTTTAAGACAGAAAAACACAAGTCAAAATTTTGCAATCTTAATACACTGAAAGCTTCTTCAGACCGAATGGACACAGGAAACAGACAGATGTGAAGTCTGTCTGTCTGTCTGGATTCAACATAGAACTTGGCACCGAAGTGCAGCAGTTCGAGTTGCCACGTTCCAAATAGCACACAGAGGTAGACAAGAAGATGAGTGAAGAGAATCAATAGAGTTTGACAAGTATAAGAGTGAAACAGAATGGGTAATGGTAGAAAGGAATATGAAAGATTACAGAGACTGAATACATCTGCGCCATTGACAACGATTTTGAGCCATGTCACCTATTGTCTCCAGCCATTGATTCCTAGAGTCCCGAGGGCCCCAACCCGGGAGTCTGCATCTCCCTACCTGACTCAGTTTAACTGTCAAGGATTTCATGGATTGATGCCATGTTTTTGTTTGGCCACCACTGGCTCTTTTCCAACCTGAACCTATATCAGCTATAGCAATGCCCGTCGGGGGAGGCGGTGGTTAGGCATGCGCAGCACGTGACCTAGCCATCTTAGTCTATGTAACTTTATAGCCTCGTCGATTGATTTTCCCTCTTTGCCCAACACTCTACGCCTAACGTCAACATTACTTACCTTATTAAACCACCTAACGTGAGACAGAGATCGCAGACATCTATGATCGAAAGCAGTCAACCTTTTCATGTCTTCAACGCGTATTGGCCATGTTTCAGAGCCATAGAGAAGGACGGAGCGAACTGATGAGCAGTACACACGTCCCTTGGTTGATAACCGGATGTCACGCCTACGCCAGAGATGGTGTAAGTCAGCGAAAGCAGCTCGAGCTTTTCGGATCCGTGCTGAGATTTCATCGCCAATCAGTCCGTTGGTGCTAATACAACTTCCCAAATAGGTGAAGTGGTCAACATGTTCTATCACTTCACTCCCTATCACTAAGTTAGGGGTTGACGTCGTCCAGTCCTGTAGCAGCATCTTACATTTTGCAGGGGCGAATCGCATGCCAAACATACGAAGATTGCTGCTCAAGGTGTTCAGAAGACTCTGCATTTTGTCAGCATCCTCCCCTAACAGGACTATGTCATCTGCATATTCTAAGTCCATAAGATTATTCCCTGGTAACAAGTCGATTCCTAAGTCATTACGTTCAGTTAAGGATACTTCCATCAGCATATCTATGATGAAGTTAAACAGAAATGGGGAAAGTGGACATCCCTGTCGGACACCACTGGTTGTTACCAATTCAGATGACAATTCCCCATAAGCCCTTACACGACTACGTGAGTTTGAATAGAGTGCCTTGATTAGTGCAATGTACTTTCTTGGCACTCCCTTCACAGTCAGACATTGCCATAGTACCTTTCGATCCACGGAGTCGAAGGCCGCCTTCAAGTCAAGAAATATGACAATTGTTGGACGCCGAAAAGTGTGTCTATGTTCTAGAATCTGTCGAAGAGTGAAGATATGATCTATGCACCCTCTACCTGGTCTAAAGCCTGCTTGATTTTCCCTTGTCTGTTCCTCCCGAGTTCTGCTTAGTCTATGCATGATTACTGAGCCTAGGATTTTAGAGACTATGTTCGTTAGGCTGATCCCCCTATGATTATCACACGAGGACTTGTTTCCCTTCTTGAATATCGGTATAATAAGTGACTTACCCCAGTCTGATGGCACTGTCTCTGATTCCCAGACTTTGCCTAGTACCTCAGTTAATCTACAAACTAGTATGTCACCCCCATATTTAAACACCTCCGGAATAATTCCGTCGGGTCCTGCCGCTTTGCCTCGTTTCAAATTACTGATAGCTTTTGTGACCTCACTACAGACGGCGGACCAGTGTCTATATCCCATTCGGGTGTGTGGATGTCGGGGAGGTTCAGTGTGGCTGTAGGCAAGTTAAATTGTTCCTCAAAGTGTTCTTTCCAGCGTTCAAGGCGTCTATCCTGAGAGCTAATTAAGGAGCCATTTTTCTCAGAAATAGTCTCACTTATGATTGCCTTCTCCCACCCGTTTCTGATGAGTCTAAAGAGTTGCCTAGTGTTGCCTATCGCCAATGCTTTTTCCATCTCTTTTGCCTTTGTCACCCACCACTGTTCACGGTCCTTGCGGAGACTTTTAGTAAGTTTCCTTTTGTGCAGCTTTCGCTCCTCATTGAATTCGGAGCTCGCCGGAATAAGTCTTCTAGCATCTATCAGTTCGGATGAGGCAGTCGAAATCCAGTGGTTTTTACTCACCTTTGGATTTGCCTTATTCACAGCTTTTACAGCTGTATCTATAGCTGACTGAATATTCTTCCAGGCTTCTCCAGGGTGAGCACAGCTGTCGAATTCAGATATGCGTTTAGCTAGTTCTTCCTCAAATAGGGATTTAGTTTCCTGATCGAGCTGGGGACGTGATGGTTTTACCGCCAGCTGTTTCCTACGTCCGTTCAGTCGTAAGCACACACGAGCCCGGACCAGTGCGTGATCGGTATCTACACACGTGTTCCAGAAGGAGCGACAATCTCCTACCGACCCACGCCAACGATAGCTTATTGCTATGTGGTCTATTTGTGTCCAGCGTTGGTTTGATGATGGGGGTCGCCAGGTTAAACAGTGTCTCTCCTTGTGTTTAAAGTTAGTGCTTACAAGAAACAAATGATTATCTGAACAGAACTGTAGGAGACGGTCACCGTTGTCGGTTCGCTGGCACGGAACTCCATAGGTGCCACCGACATCCTTCTCAGATTGACACAATTTCCCTACTTGAGCATTAAAGTCACCAGCTAGAACGACTATATCTGAGCGTTTAGCCTTTCTCACCAAACTAGACAGCTTTTGGTAGAACTCATCCTTCGTTTCATCCGAACTGCAGTCAGTGGGGGCGTAGGCGGAGATTACGAAAAGGCATCGGCGAGTAGTGCAGTCCTTTCTCCTTCTTACTGATCCGTTCAGACGGACAGCACACATTCGGCTATCTACCGGGATCCAGTCAAGCAATGTCTTTTCTGCCCTAGTACTCAAAGCTATCCCTACGCCAGCTAATCCTCGTGAACTAGCTGTGGCATCTCCTGACACCCTCAAGGTGAATTTTGAAGATTCATCCTGTTGGCCAGGTGGGGTTAGGTGAATAACCACACTTGGGTCTTGTATGCGTGTTTCTGAAACACAACATACATCAATGGCTCGGGATGCCAGGGTCTTAGCTAGTGATGCTTGTTGTCCTATTTGGCAAAGTGTCCTAACATTAAATGCTCCTATATGAAATTGGTGGCGTGGCTTTAGGAGACTATCGGTGGTGGTTTTTTGGCTTCCGTCGTTTTTAGTGGACACAGAGTGAAGAGGGAGTGAGGAGCCATCAAGTAGAGGAGTTGCATCAGTGGGAGGAAGGCAAGGTAATAGAGATGAAGATGAAGACAAAGATAAGTGCCTCCTAAGTAGAAGATTGCGGGTTCGTGTCCCGCCGTGGGTGTGGCTTTGTGCGTCGGTGGTATAGCGGTTAGGACGCTCGCCGACCATGCACATGGTCCGGGATTTGATCCCCAGCCGACGCACACCTTTACCTCTCCAAGCTAGAAATAATTCTGGTAAAGAGGAAAGGTTGGGCATGAGGCTAGCAACCCCACCCTGTAAAATAAACTCTGCTACAGAAACTTCAAGCTACTAGCTTGAAGCCCTATGTTCCACTGGGGAACGTGAAGGAAAAATTATTTATTTAAACAAAATTTGTGTGCATTTCGGATTGTGAGGGCGTTTGTTACTTCCCGGCTGCCCACACCGTGGAAGTTGGTTGCGTGACCGCAGAGCCCAGGGGACAACTGCTTGAGGCCGATCACACGCGGCCTGTTTTTGTTTGTGAAGTCAACACACTCAACTTGACGAGAACATCAAGTATTCATTAAGAGAAGATATAACTAAGCCGCGTAATTAAGACCCACGGCAATACTCATCCTGAGGAAGCCTGGCGTCAAATTCACTCAGCTGTAGAAACAGTGGTAAAGCATGTTGATAACATGAAACCAAAGGTCAATAAGTGCCAGTGGATTCCTGCTACTTTATCCAAAGTGATAGACACAAGAAAATCAATTCCAGTAAGCGCCGAATATGATGAGGAGCGAAAGCTGCTCAAACGCGAGGTGACTAAAAGTCACCGCAACAGTGGTGGGCAACAAAAAAGGGAAGAGATTGAAAGGGCATCGGCGCACCAGACAACTATTAAGCCTCATTACGAAAACAGACTGTAAAAGAGAAATGATAAGCGAAACAATATCTGAGAAAAATGGTGCCTCAAATAGCACCGGGGAACACTTTGAGGAAAGATTAAGCTGGCCTACAGCTACACCTAATTTACCCGACACCTACCAGAATAGGATGCTGAAATCGGTCCTCTAACTGTAACTGGTTTCATAAGCTGTCTTTAATCTGAAACGAAGTAATTAGGCAGAATATGATAGAATGACTAAAGAAATATTTCAGGACGATGGTGATAAGCTGCTGTCTGGATTAAATGAGATATTAGATAATGTCTGAGAACAAGAGATAGTCTCTTTAGAATAGTGTAAGTCACTGAATACCTCAGTTTATGAAAAAGGAAAAAAGTCTTCCTGTGTTAACTATTGGGGGATAAGCTTGAATAACAGTATCTTAAGTCCTATTTTTAATGATCATTTGCAGACTAAATGCCACTAAGGAGGAACAAACATGGAAAAACTAGACGGTCCTCAGACCAGGAAGAGGATGCATTGACCATATCTTTACGCTTCGATAGGTGTCGTAACATAAGCACACGAACTGGTTTGCACCCGACACCTGCTACATTTATTGACCTGAAGGCGACATTGAGCTCTGTTGATCTAGAGGTTCTACGGAAACGTCTAGCTATAAAAATGTGACGAGAAAGCATATCTTACCAATCAATCAAGGCATTCTATTCGAATACATGCAGGTGATTACGAAGCTATGGAGAAGTGTAATTCTAAACAAAGACGAGTCTTTTCTGTCATGGATATCTAATGTTTCTATTCCGGGTTGGGGCCCTCAGGACTCTAGGAATCACTGGCTGGAGACAATAGGTGACATGGTTCAAAATCGTTGTCAATGGCGCAGATGTATTCAGCCTCTGTAATCTTTCATATTCCTTTCTACCATTACCCATTCTGTTTCACTCGTATACTTGTCAAACTCTATTGATTCTCTTCACTCATCTTCTTGTCTACTTTTGTGTGCTATTTGGAACGTGACAACTCGAACTGCTGCACTTCGGTGCCAAGCTCTGTGTTGAATCCAGATGAACATTCTGGTTTATGCTCATCATAAATGTTATGCTAGTCGACTTTAGAGACTTGTTACAAGGGTACAGTCCCGTCGACTTGGAGTATGAAGGTGTCATTGTCATTCTAGCTAAGAACAAAGACAAAGTACAGAGTATTCTTCAGACCTCGAGAAGAAATCTTTAATAATAATAATAATAATCACTTTATTCCACAACAATAACAATTTACAGCATGGAATTTTCAGCATTTTGCCCCTGCTAAACGCAAGATGATGCTGAAGGACTTGTCTGCACTTCCTCCTAATTCAAAGAAAAGGAGTAAAGTGGTTCAGCTTGTCGACCACTTCACACTTAATTGGAAGTTGCATCAGCCCTAATGTCGGATTCTCGACAGTTTCAACACCAATACAAAGGGCTAGTGTGGCATCAGCCAGTTTACTTCAACTCCGACACAGACGTGAGTGCAGTTATCGACACAAAGGATATGCACACAGAGCACCAATTCGCCCTGTTGCTCTTTATGGCTGTGGAACATGACCATTTGAAGTGGAGGATATAATGCAGCTCGCTACTTCTTACCATAAATATTCGCTTACTATCCCCCGTTTTGAGTGGGAGAATATGGTGAGCGATATTCAAGTCGGGCATTAAGCGTCAGATAGGGAGAGGAAGTCAATCGGTGAGGTTGTGAAGCTATATAGACTGAGATAAATAGGACAGATATTGTGCAGGTCGAGCCACCGCCTTCTTCGTTGAGGAGTGATGTTAGTGACATAGAGTTGAGTCGAAAATAACTAAAGGTAAATGGACACTTGTCTTTCTTTTCTAATCCTGACTGTTTTTGAAATCCTCAGGTGTGACCACTAAGCATAGACTTCCTAATTGGACTAATACCTCGTGTATATAGAAGTTTAACTGTTTCTGCAGAACTGACTTATTTATCATGTACAGTGAGAACTGCCTACAAATGTGTGAAAAACCTGTTCACGCAGTTGCGTGCAGAGGTGAAAATTTCTAAAGACTACTCGCACGCACTATTGACACAAATACATCTTAGGAAATATTAAAAAGAAAGACGGTTGCAGCGAAGAAAATTTTCTGTTCGACGAAGTCATCATCTAGACTGTACATTCTTGTATTTATAGTAAGTAGGTGAGAAAGTTCCAGAACTATTTCCAGTCAAGGGTCAAATTAATAAGAATACGAATGTAATCAACATGAAGATCCAACTAGGAATTCCAAAGACAGTCCTCTCAGAAAGATCTCACTGAACACACGGAGCTTGAGCTGACAAAAATATTGAAGAAAATGGAAGATGAATCCATTATTGGCACGAAACTTTACGAACAACTTAGTCCATCTGGTTCTACAACGCCACGCATGTCAAGGCTTATCCAAGATTCTCCATATTGTTTAATCACTAGTAGAGATTCTCGGGCCAGTGAAAGAAAAGCTGTCGAGACACAACCTCCAGGACACATTCGATTTTGTCGATCCCATTGCGAATGTCGACTTGGCAGATAGGAAAATGGTCTCCCTAGATGTTTCTCTCTTCCCAAACGTTACACTGACAGACACTATATGCTTTCTTTGTGACTTTGTTCTGTCTAATAGCACCAATGTTGGTATATCAATCCATTGTCAAAAGGAGCTGTTACTACGACGCACCTTCAACGTATATTTTAGATTCAAAAAAGAAGTATACAGATAAATAGATGGAGTAGCAATCGGAGCTCCCTTAGGAACCCCTCTTGACCGACTGTTTTACGGCTAGTCTGAAAAACGATTTCTTATCACCAACTATTGATGAGCTACATCTCTACAAGAGATAAACTGATGATACTTTCATTATTTGTGGTGAGAATCGGGATCTCAAAAACCTACTCTAAATCTTCAATAATGCTCACCCAAACATCGACTTCACTCTGGGAGTCGAATCCGACTCAATGTTTCATTTCTCTGATGTTCAACTGTGAAGAAATTCTGATAACTCGCTGAGAAGATCCATATATAAAAAGCTGACACGGAATGGACAGTTTCTCAACTTTTAGAGTTGTGTTCCTCTGAGCAAAAAGAGAAACGTCATATCCTCTTTTTCCCTGAGGATCCAGAAAATACATACAGCGGAATCAGTTGACGAAGAATTGTAAAATCTCCAAGGGACGTTGATAGAAAATAGTTTTCCACCCAGATTCATAAGCAAGAACCTAAAACCAAAGGAAACGTCTCAAAAGGTTCGAATTGCCCACCCCTCTAAAGATGATGCTTGATCTCGAACTTAAAAGTGATATCGAAGCAGAAATTCTCCATAAATAGCTTTCACAGTTGCTCAGCGAAACATACTTTTCCACCAGCTACGAGTGACATTTCCCGCAAGAAACTACTCAACCAGCACGTGAAATACAAGGTGTCACATTTGGCCACTTCGACATACATATACCGGTTCACTTGCTCATCTGAAGCTGAGTGCATTGGCCATACTATGCGTCCGTCTGTAAAACGCGCTCAGGAACACTATCCAGCATGGTTAGCAAAGGGAGACTACAAGTGTGTACATAGATCGGTAACAGAACATTTGGTGAATTCAGAACACTTAGCTCCATTTGAAAAGTCCTTCAAAGTGACACACAAGATCCGATCAAACCTCTCAAAGGGAATGAAATCAAGACGTTTGGACAAAGATGAAGCATTAGCGATCCAGAAGTTCAAGCCCACACTATGTACTCAAAGAAATACGTTCAACCGTTGTCTCTACCACGGGCAAAATAAAAAGTCCTCTCAACAGTGACCATCCTATTACTTTTCTTACCCAATCTTCTTTTTTAATTCTGTTATTTCCAAGTTTTTTTTATCTGCACTACTTTGTTTTTTAACCGACCTTCCTGTTTACTACACTTTGTCACCTTATTAATTTGGTCCTTGACGAAAATAGTTCTGGAACTTTCTCACCTACTTACTATAAATACAAGAATGCACAGTCTAGTTGATGACTTCGTCAAAAAGAAGATTTTCTTCGCTGCAACCGTCTGTCTTTTCAATATTCCCTAGGATATAACGTGTATATTCCGTCACTTGAAGGATTACAAAGACATGTACTACACTTATTTTTCAGATCCCAGATTAACTAATGCACTGGCCTATATATGCAAGAGACAGCTGAAATGAAGTGTTTGTGATCCGTAAAATGCGTTGGTTCTATAGTTGCTACAAGCTTTTCTAGTTTCATTTTAATTACACTTACGATTACTTAAGAAATTGATTGTTGGGCTTATAAACCACATGCTTTACATAATGCCCAGTATAACTCAGTTCTAACTTACTTGTCCTAGAATGGAATGTCCGATTTCCTGATCCAAATTTGTAGGGTGATCAGCACAACTGGGCTTGTGGTTTTCATGCATTAGCTGGTAAAGCAAATTTCCTGTAACACGATGACATTCTTCTGCATCTACATCACTGGATTCACTTATATTACGATGCCTTCTACTGACCCAATTACTGCGACCAAGAATTGAATGATTTGTCCCAAATGGGTAAGGCTCATCAACCACTGAACGTGATTCTATAAAAGATCGCATACCCAAAGAATAGTTTGGGGAAGCGGATATTGGTGAATTCAACAAAGAAACAGAATCACGGACACTGTTTCCATAGTCTTGACGATATTCAGCAGAAGCTTCATGAGATTTACTGTCAGGCAGCTCAGAACATGGTTGAACTAAGTTATTTCGTCCACAGTATCCTGAGTCACCAGATGCGGCGCGATTTCTTAGAGTTATTTCTTTAGATAGCTGTTGTGAATAACTCTGTCCAAAAATCGAAGCGTTCAATGAGGGTAGATTATTTGGTAATTCAAAAGAATGGCTGAGAGACTGTGCCTCATCAAGTTTCAAGTCACAAAAGCTGTCGAATGCTAATTCATCATCTATGGAATGGGGAGACAATGCACAATCTACACTTTTTCCCGTGGATTTGGATTGATCATAAAGTGATGCACTAGCACAGCGACGACGAGCTTTAGGAAACGCAGACGTGGACATGTTTTCGGACGAGCGGATAACAGTTGCACCGAATAATTGCGACGGCAATTTACAGAACATCTGCGTATTTAAGCTGTATGTACGTTGACGAAAACTTGACTTTTGAATTTGCCCGTATATACTTACTTCATCCTAAACATCATAGTAACAAAAATAAAGAAAGCGCAGTTTACAAGAGTTACTCATAGATTATACAGCAAACTTTGTGCATAGCATGCATTTTATTTACTTTGCAAAACAATAACTAGAACGACTTATTTTCAATGTAAGAGCAAAATTTAGGCACTATGGTTGAATACAATTCCGTATTAGATAATCTTTTCTGATATAGTACAGTGATACAATATTAATAACTGAATGACGTTTCCAACGCAATTTATTGCTGACAATCCTATCACTGTGTATTATATGAAATAAACTTATCTAACTTATCTAATATTTTACTGAATGCATGAGTTATCAGAAATATTCTGTGGAAAAAATTCAAATTTAAGATTGAGTGGAATAGTTACCCAGCCTCAGTATAATAATTAGCCTAAGGACAAAAATAACTAAAGCTTTCTGCTACATATCCAGATTTAGTGGACACACGGTTATCAGACTGTGGTCTGTAATTTGCTATTTATGGATTTCTTGTATAAACCAGCTAAACGGTCTAATCTAGTTGATATCAGTTAACAGTGAGACAGACTCATTCGTTACAAGTAATTTTTTCAATATATCTTATTCACAACAGGACCTTGAATTTTTATGGGTTAGGACTAAGCAGGGATGTCATTTAAATATCTCTTTATCGTATGGTTAATCCACTTCCAATTCCTTTTCAGTGTTTTCTGACCAATAAGTTCTTGCCCGGTTCACTGAAATGTCGACGTTCTTTGTTGTTTATCCTTTCCGACTGTTTGATCGTCAGTGTCAGGCGAAGACAGCTGTTTATGAAAATCTGCAGCAGGCCCTTGGGCATACTCTCCGTGACGCACACGCTAAGTATCTGAACTATGTACAAGCATTGACTTAGTATTGATGTCAAAAACTCATATCTTGTTACTTGTGCAAAGTGCTGCCACGCTGATTTCAGGGTGATGAAAGCTTGCCATTGCTTCTCCGATCCTGGTTAGCTTTTACACCTTCACCTGTGCCCTCTATAGTTGAAACAATTTTGTTCAGATAAGTGAGAGAGACGACTTGCTCTGGATTTCTCCCAGTGATGATGATTGATGCTTGCTGTTACTGTTGGTTAGGTATTTTCCCCAATTCTGTCTTTTCTATATTCGCCCAAAGTCCTGAATTCTCTGCTTCTTCTGCAAACTTGTAGGTATTCGTTCGTATACGTTCAAATGTGAGCGACATGAAGCGTAAAGCACCTGCGAAATCCACATATTGTAGTGTGTTTTTATCTGTATAACGTATGCTTTTCTCTGTCCTCCGCGTCTGCCGCATGATGACTTTTTTAAACCAGACAGCATACCAGCTAGTCAATAGTTCTTTTAGATACAGGTTATTTGTTTTGGCAAGTCTGGGTATCTGGTGCTTTGAACTTTACCGCAAATTAACGATATACTGAAGGCACTGGTACGTGAAATTACTACTAGTGAGGTGAAATAACATGGCTCTTAGCATTTTAGATAGATAGATAGATAAGATAAGCTTTATTCCAAATCAGTACTTGTGATACAGAATGGAATTCTCAGCATTTTACTACAATATTGCATCCAGTTAGTACATTAACAACAAATATAGTTCTACATAGATTAAGGCTATCTCAATCAGTTTTGACAACAACATATTAGCATGTCGGTAGCAAAGCCAAAATTTAAAGTGTTCGAAGGTGTTCAGAGAGTAGATACTACTAGCATATTTACAGGCGTAAGCGATAGCAAAATGGTCGAGATATACAGAGTGTGAAAGAACGAACAAGAATGTTTTAAGTAGAGTTTGCAAGGAAGAGAGAAACAAAGCAGCACATAACAAAATAAATACAGAATGAAGAGAGAGAAAACGTTGTACCTATAAATGATGTGAGTTGGAAAGACGAGATCCATTGGTTCTACTGACTATTTAATAAGTTAAAGGTTTCACGCCTAATGCTTTCTTTATCGCACAGAACACGAGCTAGGTAGGGTATGGATGAGTTTTTGTACTTACTAGTGCGGGCATATAGTTCCCTATATAGGCTTCTGGTTTTCCCTGAAGAGATACATGGGGAGAGTTGTGAGTCAGATAAAATGGATTTCGCCCATTTTTCACATGAGTCCATGTGCCAGTAGACCAGAATATTAACAAGCTGGCTAAGTGGCAAACTGCTTAACCTGCTGACAACCTTTAACATCCTACGTAATAAGGTATAGTCTTTCTTTAATAGCCCAGGAAAACCTAAGGGGGAAAAATAGAGAATAATACGCAGAATACGGGAGTTAACGAATTGTAGGAGTAAGGGCTGGGTTATTCCAGAATGTCTTAACTTCTTGATATAGAAGGTAAGACGGTATATTTTCTTGGAAATCGTCAAGATATGAGACGACCAGGAAAGATCAGAAGATACAGTGACACCTAGGTATTTAATTTCCGACTTGGTTTCAATTTCAGTGCCATCTATGTTGCACATCTCGTGAGTGCTAACCAGTTTGTTTAGGTCAGATTTATGCCTAAAGGTGAAATTAACTGTTTGGCATTTGGAGGGGTTTAAGGTGAGACCGTTTTACTTGGACCATTGGCTAATTTCTGATAAGAAGCCATTTAGTTTAGTACAGTCACTTTGACATTTGACAGGTAAAGATACAGTTAAGTCATCAGCATATTTGACAAAGTTAATGTCATTTGAAGATGGTAGGTCATGTGGGAAGAATGAAAAGAGAAGTGGGGAGAGTACAGCACTTTGGGGGACACTAGCTTCAGTGAGCACAGCAGAGGAGGATTCACCTTTGTATACGGTGTACTGCATTCTGTTTGAAAAGTAGGAATGCAACCAGTTAGTGACCCAGGACTCGGTTTGTGTCATGGAGAGCTTATTTAGCAAGAGACTTCTAGGTACAGAGTCGAAGGCAGAAGTGAAGTCAAGAAACGTGCAGCGGACATATTTGACACCTTTGTCTGATGATGAGACAATACTGTTGTGTAAGACGGCTGCAGCGTCTAAAGTACTCCTACCCTGTCTGTAGGCAAATTGCAGTCTTAGCTTCTAAGAATATTTAGAATCGATGGTAAAAAACAAGACCTGTTCATTTTCAAATTCACCATATACCTTATATTATAAAAAACATCGGAAAAAATGTTTTGAGTAGACAATCCATATTCTTAAAACGCCTAGTAAATGACAGTAATGGACACCAAATGAGTAATTCACAACTCATATACATAATGTCTTGGTGTAGCGCTTTATACTGATCAGAGTTTGAAGGCGACAATTTTATTGGGTGTTAAGTAGAGTAACTCAGAAAGACGTAATCAGAAAATTAGAAACATAAGCTTTATATTCATGTCTACATTACGATACTGTATTTCGTTATTGTTTTCACACCATTTTCGCTTGACGCCCTTCTACAGATAACAAGATTATTTCTTTGTTCGAAAAGAACAAACAAAAATTTGTTTGGTTCACTTCTAATTTTTGTGGGAAATTATGCAGTAAATGAAACAAACGAAATCCTCCGAATACAGGGGATTTCCCGGAAACCAAGAATAGAGTAAACAGTTGAAGTAGATCTACCTGATCAATTTCTGCTTCAATATTATTCAGAATATCATTAGTTTGGCAGTAATGTCCCTGTGAGCCAATTTCAGAGGGAGCCAAATCGAATTGAGCCAATCCCAACCATTTGCACAAGGGATTGCATCTGTGACTATGAAAGAATAATGCCATTCCCCTAGCACCAAGGTTACCGTCATTGTAACCCACACCATCTGAAGTGTGAATCTGGGGATCAGTGTAAAGGTCGCCAACACCTTGAATATCTACCACTAATAGTCGGTGGCCAGAGCGTTCAAACGTGAAATGACTAAACGTCTGAGCGGAAGAAACAAACGGAAAACATTTCGAATAGAAAGTGTGATTCATCAATTTAAAAATGTACTGTGAATAACTAGTCTACAGGTAAAATCAGGTAAAACTAAACAACGTACAATCAAAGCGATATTCAGCGTCCATCAGTCTTAAAAATGATAAAATTGATGGAATTTCACCTTCATAATGATATATTCTATATGAAGGAGCGAATGTGGAATTAAACTTTTAGCGACACATATTCATTTTCTCGAGTTCTTCTACTTTTATGTACACTAATGAATCAACAGCTTTGAATCGTTCATCTAAAAATTAATCCCTATATGGTTCGAAGCATATTACAGATTGTACATACTCATGACTTAAGCATTTGCTTTATTCTCTCGGATGTGTCATGGACAAATTAAATGCAGCAATAAAAAAAACTGTGAGCTGCTTATAGAGCCATGGGGACAACTGATTTAGTAAATAGCTAGTAATGAGAAGAGAAACGGTAAATCCTTTTAATTCTAATAGCTGGCAATTTGTATAACTAAAAGGTTCTTAAAAATGAATAATTTCAAGGGAACTATCTGTAAGAACAGAGGTTATTCGAAGTTTGGAAAGTAAGGAATTAAAGACTACACATTCCTGGCGCGGTGTCTCTGATATCTTTCTTAAATCACTCGGTTATCTAAATTTTCATCCAGCAGAATGAATAAACTCTCTACTTCTTATTATTTTAGCCATCCACTTCTGTCTTTGAGTCGCTACAAGATCATTGTTAGTTAGCACATTTCTTGAAAATGAAGGAAGATGTAGTAGAATATTGGATCTAACCTAAAAAAGAACAACACTGTTATATAATATCCTGTCGAGTACTATTTTACTTGAAGATCCTGTACGAAGAGTGAATATTTTGCTAAGAATTCTTTACTACGTGCTAACATAGTATCTGGAATAAAGTTGTTTTCATTATTATCAAGTGAAATGTATTCATTACAGGAGTTCAACTGAGTGAGGGTGAACGTCAGGCACTACTAAAGACTAATAAGCCAGAGTGGGATATCCAAAAACCTTTGAGTTCTAGTACTTATTATGAGCCGACCTACGCTTACCTGGTGAAAACTGGTAGTGGAATTCAGGATATGTTTAGTCGTCTTCAGGACCTGATATAATCAAGCGTATCTGCATCCCTGTAAGTAATCTCACTGAGATAGACTAATAAATCCCATTCAGTAGCATGAACAAGGGGAAATTACAAGTGCCAATGAATATTCTAACATCCTATGAACCAAATAATAGCAACTGATAAATGTGCATACCTGAGGTGTATTGCGCAAACACTCATCAACGAAGCCACAGTTCGAGTTATATTTACGGTATTCACCTTCCATGTAACGTTCAATATGGAGGAACATTGGGGACGAATCTCTTTTATCGTCAGTAAGAGTACTGTCAATGCACAGCTCAAGAACGGACAACTGGAAAATGTCCACCTTTAAAAAAGAGAAGTTACAGCCACTTGTACAAAATTTCTAGTTTTATCGTTAAACATAAAGCAAGTCAAAAAATACTGCCTATATTGATATTCAGGAAAACATGACGCTAATGGTATGACAGGAGTTACAGTTCAAAATGAAAATTCAAATATGAACAATTCATCAAAAAACAATCAAGTACAACAGAGGATGAATTTGGACTTTGAATTAAGGAATTATCTATCAAGAATTCAATGAATATATGCTGACATATAATTAGCATACATTAATCTACTGACCTTTTTAGGAGGGTTATGGCGATTAAAAGCCTCACCCCACAACTTTGCTTCCATCTGCAGACGCACATCGTCGAAATAAACCCGTTTATCCACAGGTGCTATATATCGTTTAGCCACGTAATTTGTTGTATGCTGCCAGTCTTCTGTCCCTGATCCTCTCTGACTTAGTTTTTTCCTGAAAAAATGTTTGAAAAACTAGGTTAATGTGATTGAGATATGAGAACAAATTTAGAGTCCTCATTATACAACCCTGCATTCATCAATCAATAAGCGTTACTTGCGTTTAGAAAACACGGGACGAAATAAATATTAACCATACGTACAGTCTGAAGCACTCCCTCATTGTTCCACGATCGAATGGTGATGATTCCATCTTGATTTGTACTTCATCCACAACCCATTTCTTTTTAATTGCACTGTATCGATGCCTGAAAGCAGAGTGGACAGGGTATTCATTCCATGGTAAATTATGCCAAGGGTCGATATCTACAGACTTAACTTTTTTGAGGGCCCGCTTCCATAATAAAACTGGAAAAGGAAAATAAATTCAAATGATCACGGCAAAAAGTAGAATTGAAGTATACGTCAAACTGAATGGACAAAACAAATCCTTTTGGAGATAATACGAATACAGACGGTATTTGAGGACTTCCAATTAATAAAAGTAGAGACGGTAAATTAGGGCGGAGTCATTTTTGGTGGAAGCAACGTATGTAACAGCATGATTACTTTAGAAAAAACCTCAAATCACTCAGTAGAAAGCTATGTTCTGAGAGTGAGATCCGGAGCCACTCATTGATGGACTTCACAGACAGTTTGACTGACTGAGTTTCAAAACAGAACTTTGCACAGAAGTGCAGTCCAAGCTGCTACAATCCATATAGTACACAAACATAAAGAAAAGATATATAAGAGATCCAAAACAATTATTAACAGAAATTAACGTTGGAAAGAGTAGTAACACGGAAGAACTTGGGGATTTAATTGATTTGAGAGTATGAGACCTAACATTACTTAAAAAGCCAACTTTAATTGGAGATTTATTTCAAGGATGATTTTGTTACAAACTGACATCAGGTAAAAGAGCCCGTGAAAGCCAGGGAGCATGGGACAGTTCTATAGCCATAGTCAGGAACTTCTGATCTTTGTTCACCAATGACTAAGTCATAATACCACTGAGTGACCAATTAACGTGGAATCTTATCCAGAAGCGTATCATTTTCAGTTTGTACACTTACCATAAACAGGAAAAATGTAAAATAAACAAATAAATATACTGAAAATAGCTGTACCTATACACATGAATAGTATTATTTACGTACCCGCCCTTTGTTGACTCATTGACGAATTATCGGACTCCGATGGTAACTGAGAGACATCTAAGCTGTTTTCAATAGCAGGCGAACGCATAGTTTCAAGTAGCCGTGCAAGTATTCCTTGGGACAACTGGAACTGAAGATCCGGCGGGACTGATAGTCTTTTGCAAGCGGTAAATGTTAAGAATCTAGAAAAATAGGAATTTATCGGTACAATTTTCCGAAGCAGTATCAATAAACTATGCTGAAGTGCAGCACCTAATAAGTAGCTATCACTCAACTACCTCCATATGTTGGAGTTATTTCCTCTATATGCAACCAATATAAGTGGGCACTTGGAAGCTCAGGAAATGAGAACATTACTAAGTTTTAAGGAACAAACTGGCTCTATCTGGTTTAGAAATACTATGTGGAGATTTTTAGTGAAATTTTTGCAGATATATCGCTAACTAATGAGCTTATGAAGTGGTATAAGTATGATAAGTTTTACAATATAAACTAATCCTCAGATTTGTAACCATAATAAAATAAACAAGGTGCTTCCCGAATATGATGGATTCTTCATACCTAAATGGTGACAGTAACGTCGCTCCTATTGGCAAGACTATGTTCGAGTCAGATGTGAAGAAGCACATGTCTGCTCAGTAGTCATCCTCATGTTGGTACAACGGGGTCGACCAATAACATGCCACTTCGGTGTCGTCAGTCGCAGAGGGCAAGCCCGAAACTGGAATTCGGGGATATGAGTCGGTTTTGTGAGAGAAAAAACAGCAAGGAATACGCCACAGTACTGCGTCAACGCTATGTTGAAGTATTCCCGATACATCACACTGGTCCAGAGAATGGATGCTTCCGATCAATGTAGCGAAATTTGCAACCATGAGAATCGAACACGCAGGCATCAGCTCCTACGAACAAGAGGGGATAGCATCCATCAGTACAGAATCATTTGAATTTAGGTGTCATACCAATTCACAATTTTAAAACTACAGCACACTATCACGCCGTGGCTTTATGTAGTTTGATATCATTACAGGCGATTTACAAAGCCTTTACTGGAATCACCAGGGACGTGTTCATCTCTTCATATACATCTGTGGTGAGGTCAAGACTGGAAAATTATATCCAGGCAGCCAGTTCTTGTCTTAAAGGGGGCTCAAATATTCTAGAAAGAGTTCAGAGGAAGGCAACACGTATGATTCTCAGCATGACTGATTTAAACAGCCTAGACAGTTTAAATCGCTTTTCCCTATCATACCAAAGACAGAGAGATTTAATTAAGTTTAAAATTTTAATAATGACTGAGGACCTGACATATTCCATTTTTTCCTTCCCATCAAGTCGGAACACCTTAGAGGACATAGTAGGAGAGTTCAATAGCCAAGAAGAAGTTATATTGCTGTGGAGTACTTGTTTTTACACCGAGTCATAAACTCTTGGAACCGATTCTCAGAAGAAGTGGTATCTGCAACCTCAACTGATTCATTCAAGAAGGGTTTGGAAAAGAGTTAACATAGGCTTCAAGCCTTCTATCTTCAATCAGTAAATCTGAAATCACTGCATGCAATTTTCGTCGATCTGTCAGTCAATACGCCTGGCAAATTAATAATCATATAACCACTGGAGTTTGAACACAATGTGACTCAATACAACAGAAGACATCAGGTAGTCATACCTGACTAAAGTGTGCAAACCTCACAAACAGCTGAGTGCAAGGTGCAATAGACAGTACATACAATTAGGTATCACGCACACCGCAGCAAACCATAATTGAGAAGCAGAAGACATATCTCGGTGAAAATACTTTATCAAAATAGCGATCTCTGTACAAGGGTAAAATTAAGGTTCACACGAACGGACAAACTGGGGCCGTTGTTGTTCACGGCAATGGATAGCATCACACTGCTTGTGGAGAGGCTGAGCACTTCAAGGTCACTAGTGCTCATTTTGATTGATAGATTTTAGTGTGCGTATATACTGCGGCTAATATGGAACGTGAGATATTTTCGCACAGTGTATGGGTTATCACGTTCACATCTATAAAGGCGTTATAATCTTTCAGTTTTGTGAAAGTAGATTATACTTGACTAGTTTTAGGCTTCTGTAGCCTAAAAAAAGCAGGATTTTGCTGTATTGCGTTCGTATTAATGCGTAAAGTTATCTTGATAGCCCAGACTAATTATTACTAAAAATGTCATCCTTTATGAGAAATGTCTCATAGAAAGGCTATTATTTGCGTTTAAGATCATTAAAGCCTTGTTATTTGAGAGTTTTTTAAGATCTTTAGGTTGTAAATTGACTACAGGCAATGGTTTTCATAGCAGTTATTCTATGAGAATCTGGTATTTGAAAGAGAAGTAGCCTACATACATAAGTTAGATGTATGCTGTGAGGAAAAGATTCCAAGCAGCTAGAAAATATTACTGCGGTTTTTATGATTATTACCTTTTACAATTGTAATTCATCTTTCCAAAGTTCAGAATGACTCCAAAACATCAATGCTACCCTATAGGCCCTACAGAAATTCGTGAGAGATCTTACATGTCAGGTTGTCTTACGAACTCTAAGCTTGCAGAACCTTCAATTCACCTGTCATTGAAATATCACTTATGTACTTCACGATAGTCTTTTTATTTACGCACTATTACGCTCTATTTTATCTTAACTGGATAGGCCTTTATTAAGTCTGAGACTTACTCTTTGAGCCTATTAGTTCCTTGCTTAAAGTCTGGTTGCTTTGATTAGAAATACAACAACACCAGCTTTTGAACAAAGCTGTATGTTAATCGAAAACGTCATAGTTTCCGTGCTTACACCTATATGGTTAGCATTAAACATTGTAAAGCCATACTATCATTTCAAGTACTCTTTAGTCCCTTGGCGTATACGTCTTCAATACATTCAATGATGTATTTTGCATCTGTTTTATGCCACTTTGCAGTTTAAGATGACGTTCTCCTTTTGATGAAATTGCTTTCAGTCATGTCAGGGCTTAGCACTTACCCAACAACCTATGAAAAAGCAATAACTAATTATACTTAGAGGTTGTAGTTTATAACATAACTGATAGTGCCTGTAAAAATGGCATGCCCCGCTTGTGAACACACTATTACACGGCATTTAAAATGAACATTATTTGCTTAGTGCTACTCTGTACAGGATGAACAGTGTATTTGATAGTAAAAAATGCGAATGAATGTTATCATCACCAAAGTTTGGAAAACGAGATTGTCAAGGAAATTATCAGTAAGTTCCTATTCTCACAAAGACGCTCCGCACCGATAAATACTATATACCTTGTTCCACTTTAAGTCTAAAACACCAGTAATGTAAAAAGGAAGTTATGTTGCTTCGAAATTAAAGCGGCGAAAAGTAAAGTCTATAAACATATATTTTGACAGACTTATGAATCACCTTTATTCCTTTCTGGTCGTCTTCATGGAAATTGTAAACGATTGAACCATTCGTGCCTTCGGGTTATCCACCGATGACTACCTATACCAGAAACAAACGTTCAACGTTCACTACCTTAGACACTCCCCTATAAAAAAGGGATCCATCCCTTTCTTCCATCACGACCGATACACCTTGACTTGGATGACAGTGCGAGAACCTGGGTCACACGGACAGAGCTGAAATGGAAAACAAACAGCAAAACCAACACACCACACGCATACCCACAGCACAATATCACTCATCAATGACGACATACGCCTCCCAGTTAAAGGCATCCTCTTGACATCTCGCAACACAATCGCCACTTCCTAGAATGACTCTTGGAGAGCGCAACGTGACCATAGCAGCACCTCATGATACTCTCCACGCATCCTCTTATCTATTCACTACCAATCACCACTGCAATCGCTTGTCACTCATTCTGCCTCAGTTCTAGCAACGGTGACGTATGCATGCCTCAGTCGTCTACACTCTCACTCCCCGGAGTGTGGGACCACAGCTAATCAATATCTCTGTGTGCATGTCATTCTCAGCACTAGCCTCCTCGGCGTTTACGACCCATCTGCTGTCTTTGACATCAATCAATTCATTCACGGATGTAGAAGACTCGAAAAGACTTCAGAAATAAGCACGACGAAAATTTTAACAAAATTATGCAAAACAACAAGGCATGAAAACAACAAGCAAGCACAGTGAATCCAAAAACACGAATTGATTTGACACACCACACACATATACAAACAGTACACGTAACCTCGCAGATCATGTCTTGATATAATTCCTTTGAAGAATTGCAGGACTTACAGCAGTGCGCCTACAACCCTTCTCAGGCTGACGACCTACGTTGAAAAATCGTCATCTGGTGACCTCCTACCATCACCTTTATCCTCAACTCGGAACGGTAACACGCCCATGTGATTGTATCGCGGAATGTAGATGACTAACAGACACACGACGTATCTGACCAACCAAGCGTAGAAACAGAGTAATTTACAGCAAAGATAATAGCATTTAAATGGTAACTTGAAACTTGAAATGCCTTTATTCGTGCAAGCCAGTTTAACAATTATTCTCTCGTATACGCTTGGCTTATCCTCATTAAACTGACCAATATCTTTCGTCTTTTCAAATGCACCCTTACTAGCATAGTCATAGCACAAGTCACTTGAGTTCATGGACGTCCATTTCATTGTGGATGAGAACACCAACTACGACTGGCTGATTCTAGTTGATGAAGTTAGCGGTGCATCAGAAGCTGCTGTTGTTAGATCTTTAGAAGGTTGTCTTACCAACCAATCTCAACGGAATGTATGACAAAACAAGCCTTTTAAATGCACAAAAAGTAAAAGAAAACAGTAGTATAATCGAATATTACATTTATATTCATCACATCTAACGGCAAACAACGCATGGCGCAACCACACAAAGCCGCACACGACCTCACCTACATAGGAATGATCAAAGTGACCACTACTGCTCTAGCCGATGAAAGGCGAGAAAATCTTTGGCAAGGTAAATTTAAAACGCGCGAACGTATATCCTCACCCGACTCTAAACTATAACAGCCCAAAATGAAACTAACTAATGAACCGATTGATGAAGAATTTATGTACAGAAATCGGTTTAACCTGATTATGA